TTATATTTGAATTGTTTCTGCTTTTCTAAGAGCTTGAGACACACTGTTAGTTTATTGTCCTATTTTTCTGGTGTGGGCATTCACTATAAATTTTCTTGTAGGACTGCTTTCATTTTGTCCCATAAGTTTTGGTATGTTGGATTGGCATTACCATTTAGTTGTAGGAATTGTCATATTTCTTCCTAATTTTTTCTGTGACTCATTGATTAATCAAGACTGTGTTTAATTTTTGTTTGCACAGTTTCTGTGGTTTCTTTTGCTATTGGATTCTAGTTTCATCGCAATATGATCTGCTAACATGAATGGTAAAATTTCAATTCTTTTGTATTTAGGCATGCTTTATTAACTAGTATGTGGTGTATTTTGGATAAAGTATCATTTGCAGTCAAAAAGGTGTATTCCATTGTTGCTGTATAAAACACTCTTTAAAGAAATAGTTAATTAAATGAGGAGTATCTGTATAATGACTATTTGGACTTATGATCCATTTTTTTCAGTTCTGAACATCTTGTTTATACAGCATGAATGCCTTTTTTTGTACAGTATACTGTTCATACAATCATAATATTTTTTGATTCTACTGTATAGTATAGTACTGTACTTTTATATTGTATTTACATGCAGTATGGCATGCAAGAGATCCACAAGTAAAAGCAAAGTCATCAGACTGGAGTTTCTGTGAACCATTTCTTCTAAATACACATGGCAGTGTACATACTATATACAATTCCACATTTAGTAACCAATTTAATCTCTAGTTGTAGGAATGACACTCATTTAATGAGGAATGTATATCTATTAAATCCATTTGTTCAAATTCTGATTTTTTGTTGTTGTTTAGTTGATCTGCTTATTTGTGACAGTGAGGTATTCAGATCCTCCAGTACAGTTGTATTGATGTTAATTTCATCTTTCTTGTCTATTTGAGTTCGTTTAATGGAGTTGTGTGCACCATGGTTTGGTGCCTATGTTTGTAGTTAGTGTATCTTCTGCTGAATACCTCTGTTAACCTATATGTAATGTGTTTGTCTCTTTTCAGCAGCTTTGGCTTGAAATCTACTTTGCCTGAAAATAAGATCACTGTTTCTCCTTGTTTCTGGGTTCTCACTGCATTGAATAATTTCTATCCTTTGATTTTTTTTGTCTATGAATTTCTAATTGTGTTAAATGTTTCTTGTATATACCAAAACACTGGATTTTGTTTCTTGATCCATTCTTCCAGTCTGTTTTTAATTGGCAAGTTAAATCCATTTACATTGATACTCCTAATTTTACTTATCTGCTTTTCTCTTGGATTTCTCTGAACTTTTTAAATAATTAAAAAGTTTGTTATCAGGCATTTCCTTCACATTAACTTCTTTGGGATCTGCTGCAAGATACTCATGTTCTTTGGAGGCATTGTATTACCTTGTTTTTTGATAATTGTTGTGGTCCAACATTGTGATTTACACATGTGATGGGTCAAGTACTTCCATCATTTTTGTGAGTAGCCTTCTTAGAAAGAGGCTTTCACCTGAAAATATCTTGAGTTCTTGCCTTGTAAGGCAATGTTGGGTTGATTTTCATCTGAGCATCATATTCTCTCTATAGCTTCTCTGGATATGGTTAATGACTCTGAGGACAGTGCACAGTATAGCAGAGTTGGAGATTCATTGTCTCTGTGGGCCGTGAAAGATTAGGGACCCTCTTGTAATCTAGTGGGATGCAGACTGCAGTGTGTGTGGGGCACTCACTGTGTGACTGGTCCTACAACTGGGTGGTGGTCTCTACTGGATCATGGAAGCATTCCCTCAAGCACTGTTGACGCTACCTCTGCCATTAGCAAGGGCTTCTGGTACTGGCAGCCACAGCAGTGGTGCAGAGCCTGTAGCACTTAACCATGACCAGTTGCTGGCATGGGCAGGGAGCACAAGGAGCAGCAGTGGCAAAACTGCACCATGTTTTCTATGGCACTCACCCCCAGTACTGACAGCAGTGCTCTGTCAGGTAGGTTGATAAGAGTGAGGTAGAGGTGAGAACTGCATAGGTAGGGTGGCAGCAGGAGCTACCGTGCTCCTCTCTGCCAGTGGCAGTGCATACCCAGGAGCAAAATTGAGGTCAAAGTCCTTCTGGACTCTCTTTGGTTAAATGTAGGAGCAACACAATGGCTGGAGCTGGAGTTTTTGTACCCCAAAATCCTACTCCTTCAACTTGTGGTATGTCTAGGGTCAAGATGACTGAGGGATGGATTGACAGAGTTGGCCAGGGCCACCTCAGCATATCCTTAGGGATGGGGGAACTGAAAGACCCATGGTGTCATCTTCCTGTCCTAGCAGTAACTGGGAAGTAGCAGCAGAAGCCACGTGGGTATTTGTCATCAGACCTGGTACTGGTGTGAGTCCGCATATGGCTACCATGACTTTGGTCTGAGTGCAAGGACCCCCTCACCTCCATCGTGAGGGAAGTGCCCTCTGTTCCCCGTCATATTGCAACACCCGTCCCCTACAGTATGGGCACCCAGTGGGCTTAGGTCAGTTACTCCAATGAGACAAGTTGAATTCAAAGTCAGTCCATGTCTGTCCATCTGTCTGTCCATCTCTCATTTCTAGCGTCCTTTCACAGTCACTCTCCTCAAAATGCAGCTAGCTACCTATTAGCTTTGTAACTTTGGTTCTTCCAGAAGGAAGTGAGTGCTGGGTTCTGCTATCTTTGATCCTAAAGATGTTTATAGTAACAGATTCTGTTCCTGTGCATTGTGTCTCTACGTGGTAGTGCATGTAACAATGATTTACATGTTAACTTCTTGTACTATTCACTCAAAATGTTCATGAGCCTGTCATTCATATCAAAATTTCTGACAGTGCATTTTTGGCACTCAGAATCACCCCAATCAAAACACATATTAGTCAAAAATAGTCTCATTGTATGTGAAACTACTAAAGCTGAATTCTGACATTACGTCAAACTTTTTTTTTTTTTTTTAACCAGGGATGGAGCTCTGGTCCTTGCACTTGCAAGGTAGGCACCAGAACCACTGAGCTAAATCCCCAGCCCCTGTCAAACATTTTTTTTAGAGAAATATGAATGATGAAGTTGAACATTGTGATGTATAACTAATGAAGTAAAAAGAACTGATATATTTAAGGGCTTAACTTGCTGGATTTGTACTTGGTGATCATTTTAATATGGCAGATTTCAAGAGAATAATTTTGAATGACAGAGGTTTAAGTGTGCTAGTCAGGTGTGGCTTATTTTTGGCACATGGTTTGATTTTATGCAAGAACGAAGTATTGTTGATAGCATTTTAAGGTGTAGAGACAGTCCATGGGTGGACAGAGGAGACCTGGCTGTTACTTGGGCCTGAGGTGCTTAGAAGTAGCCAGAAAATGCACGCTAGTGAACGAGTGGAATGCACCTTACTGTGTCTAGCTCTTCCTGGCTAATGAATTGTGACCACTGCCACAGATCTCAAACCTTGCATAAGGGCAACTGTACATTAAGAATTGGTGTAACTGGTGCTTCAAGGTAAACAGCTTTATTCTCTTGCTTTAGTACAGTTTGGAGATTTTTATCAGTGACAGCACTAAACTGAAAGGAGCTTTAAAAAATCCTATGTATCATACACATAAATTTTTCTGCGGCTGTTAAAAAAATCTGTGCACTACTCTAAAAAGTCACAGTTAATACTGTGTTTTCATTACATGGATAAGAATTTCCTGCTTAAACATTCTGTATGAGAGTGCCGACAGAATTTAAAAGACTTCAACTCAAACCTCCTAGTTTCACGAAAAAGCAACTGAAATGGCTTAAAACCATCATGTTAGAATGTAAGATACTCAAAGCATTTCTGCTTGGGATGGAAAGTGGTCATAAATTTCTCTCTTATACAGGCATCAGTTGAAAAATGTAAGAATAAGCTTTTGTGAAGGTTTCATGTCGTATTAGCTCTGTATTACCTTAAATGTAGTAGTTTTAGACAGTGCATGGGCATCTCATCATTGCATAGCTTTGGAAGCTGACAGCGTCATGGATGGCAACCAAGGTGTCAAGGTGTGGTCCTTCCAGAGACTCTAAGGGGAGTTGTTTCCTTGTCTCTTCTATCTCCCAGTGGCTGCCCGCTTTCCCTGGCTCAGGCCCCCTCCCTGGTTCCTCCATCTTTAAAGCTAGCAGTGGCCACTGAAACTTTTTCCATTGCATCTGACTTCCATATTCACATCTCTTTCTGATTTCCTTCTTAAATTTCTGAGTCTTTTCCTTGTAAGGACCCTGAGGTTAATTGGATGCACCCAGATAATCCAGGATAGTCTCCGTATTTCAAGGCCATCTGATTTGCAGTCTTCTCTAAAACCTTATTTACTCTTGTTTCAAGAGGCCTGTCTTCCAGGGAAATGTTAAACGGGGATATTTTTCTGTTGGGCATGCCTATACTGTACATAGTCTGTTTTTTTGTTGTTGTTGAACTCAGATGCTCTTATTAATAAAAGAGAATTCTGAATTTCACTGTAAGTTATGGAACAAACGCCTTACGTGTAGTAAGTAGGCAGGGACTGGGACCCTGAAAGCTACTGTTCACTATTCTTGTGAGACACATCTGTATTTATCTGCTTAGAGTTGCCATAACAAAGTGCCACAGACTGGATGATTTAAACAGGATAACTTCATTTTCTTGTGATTTTGGAAAGGGAAAGTTCAAGGTCAAAGTTTTTGTAGAGTTGGTTTCTTACCATTTTTTTTACCCCCTGGGCCCCTCTGCTTTGTTCTAGATGGCCATCTTCTCCTTGTGTCTTCACATGTGTCTTCCCTCTGTGTGTCCATGTCCTGAACTCTTCATATAAGGACACCAGCCACGTCAGACTACAGCTCATGTAACTTTAATTTCCTCTTTAAAGCTCTGTCTCCAAACACAGTCGTATTCTGAAGTACTGAGCATTAGAACTTCAAACTGAATTTTAGGGAAACAATGCATCCTATAACATCAAACTAATGATTATCTTATCAAAGACAATCTATCTTAATAGAGGACCACAGGTTAAAAAAAGGGGAGGGGAGCTAGGCAGGATACAACCTGTATGCATGAACTCACTGAAAATCACTCTTGGGCAGAATTTTTTTCTACAAAAATGGTAATTTATTTTGCTTTAACGTACAATAGTAAATATTTGGGGATCATTTTTAAAATTTGCTGGGCTTACTTTACATATTACAAGATTAGTATAAGCTCATAAATTCTTCCATTTCAATGAAGGAAAAAGATCCAAATGACATCTGCTAGCAGCTTGGCTAAGAATGGACATGAAAATCAGACAATACATGGAAATTATAAAGTTTTTTCTCCAAATGTGTATACAAGTTTTGAAACAAAATCACTGCCTGCTCCACAGGACAGACAATTCTATTTTAAAAATGTTCCAGACCAGGAATAGCATAACCCTGTGTCACAAAACTTATAATACAGCTTAACAACATTTAATCAAAGACTTTTGCACTTATTTTTATAACAATCTGAAGAAAAAGGAAAAACAGTAGCCAAGGAACTGCGCAACCAAAAAAAAAATCATATAAAACATTTCCACCACTATTTAAATGCCATATTTATGCAATAGTAATAAAACAAAACAACAAAACATAATAATACAGCCTTTCGTTTAAAATAACAGCACTGTTCTGCCTCTTTTCCACTGAATTTTACATATGAACAGACTATATATACTGGTTTTTCAGGGAAATATCCATTTGGTCTGTTTTCCAGTCAGACTCATACTAAATCCTCTCATTGTCTTTGGAGGACACGCAACTCCACGCTGTTTCCATACCTGCAACATTCTGGGTTAGGTGCGATGTCTCAAGTATTATCTGTTTCTCCCTTTTCCTTTACACAGTGCAGAGTATACGGGCTTAGGTGATGCAGACTCTTTCACTCCAGGTCACCGTCTTTTTCTAAATTCAAGGCAGTATTCAGTGGAGTGCAGTAGTTGGGCTTGTCAGAAGGTACATAGCCTGGCAAACACAAGCATTTGTAGGAACCTTCGGTGTTAATGCACTTAGCGTTCTTGCAGAGCGACATCCGGTTGTTCAGCTCATCACATTCATTTACATCTGCAAAAAGCCAACCCATGCAGGTGAGCAGTCTTGCATATCACTCTGTGAGAAGCACAACCTCCTCTCAGGGGGCAGCCAGCCCAGCCACCGCTCCCACCCGCACTGGGCAGTCTCTGCCACCATGGCTTGTTTCAATCATGTGCAATATAAAAACGATTACTTGCAGCTTAAGGTACATCATCAGGGAGAGTCTAGAATTGGTTTCCTTGTTCTCTAACTACATGAATGTTCTGCCAGCTTCACACTGTCATGTCAAGCCTCAAAGATGAAGGAACTATATTACTCCTTGATTTCTTCCCAAGTCACAGATGAAATGCTGGATTCTGTGAAGGGGAAGTGAGCAGAGAGCTCTCTCAGAGCAGCCACTCTTGGGCCTTCAGTTTCATTCTTAGATTTCTTTCCACACAATATACACTTAGGCTCTCACAGGCTGCTAACACCTGCGTGAGCTCACACTACCTATGTTCCAAACCCAACAAAGATTAAGATTCCCAAATCAAAGGTGGGCAAAGGGACTGCTACAGGAGGGAGAGGAAATGTTTTTTTTTAAAAAAAATTCAAGTATCTTTTGGCTGGGTGTGGTGGGGCACACCTGTAATCCCAGCACTTGGGAGGCTGAGGGAGGAAGATCGCTGTGAGTTCGAAACCAGCCTGGGCTACACAGTGAGTTCCAAGGGGCCAGGGATTTAGCTCAGTGGTTCCGAAAGCACAAGGCCGAGTTCAACCCCCGGTACCAAAAAAACAAAAACTAAAAAAATCAAGTATCTTTCATCATAGAGGCACAGTGCAGGTAAAATAAAATATCCTATTCACCTCAGAATGGGAGGGCACTGTGAAAGGTAGTTTTAGGAGGAGTTGTATCCAAAATGATTACTATGGAAGCTGTGTATTTTTCTGATGTCTATACTCCTTGATGTGGCCCCAGAGGATCTTGGGAAAAGAATGTCCCACAGGACTTTGATCTTACCCACACAGGTCATCCTGGCCGTGTCCAGGTGGTACCCGTCAAAGCAGTCACAGGTGTAACCTTCCTGGACCCTCACACACCGGCCATTCTCACAGCCATTGAGGATGCCACACTCCTCTGCTTGTAACTCCTCAAAGCTGTTTAAATAGCCTGGGAAGCAAAAGGTAGGAGCCAGGTTAGAAACTCTGTATTCCTACTCGGTTTGACTACTGAGGCTATGGTTCATTTCATATATATTTCTGATACCTGAAAACATCAGAATTTAATATGGAATATATCTATATACAATACAAAGCATACAAATATTTTATTGTATGTGTTGCACAGATTATCCCCACATTTCAAATTCTGATGTTTTATATTAAAATCACATATAAAATGAAAATGCAAGAATGGTTTTTGGTTTAGTTTTGAGACAGGGTCTTGCATTGTAGTTCATGCTGGCCTTCAACTCATGGAGATCCTCCTGCTTCATCCCCCCAAGTGCTAGGATTATAAGCATGTCACCAGACCTGGCTGGTTTTTGGTTTTGCTCTTAATTAGGAAAAGTGTTCATTCAAAATGTCACTTTTCCTGAGTTCTCAGTAAGGTTAATGTTAGAAAATCTTTCAGGGTAACAGTAGAGCCAGGCATGGTAGCGCAAGCAGATAATCCCAGCACTCGGGAAGCTGAGGCAGGAGGATGTCTGTGAGTTGGAGACCAGCCTGGGCTACATAGTGAGTTCCAGGTCAGTCTCAACTACATAGTAGTGTTCATTCAAAATGTCACTTTTCCTGAGTTCTCAGTAAGGTTAATGTTAGAAAATCTTTCAGGGTAACAGTAGAGCCAGGCATGGTAGCGCAAGCAGATAATCCCAGCACTCGGGAAGCTGAGGCAGGAGGATGTCTGTGAGTTGGAGACCAGCCTGGGCTACATAGTGAGTTCCAGGTCAGTCTCAACTACATAGTGAGACCCTGTCTCAAAAGACCACAAAACAAAGACGCACAAGAGGCGGAGAGGTGCTTTTTCAATTGGAGTTTTCAAGACCAGAAAAAACCCAGGCTGGCCTTGCTCTGTGAAGTCTGTTTGCTCTGGCTTTGGAATGAGCCCTACACAGGGATCAAAGGCTAAAGGCAGTAAAAAAGATTCAAAGCATCCTGAGAAATGGGAAAATACATCATACTTGTGTTTAGAAAACCAAAAGGCTTTTTTATAAAAATGAAATGAATTTTTTTAACTTGATTCGCTTTATAGTTTAAGATCTAGTTCTGAATCAGTTTAAAGACATCTAGTGTTAGCATTAGAAAAAAATGTAACCAGGCATCACAAATGTTTAGTCTTCTTTCTAAAGAGGAAAGTCACAAATACAACTGCATAATGACCCAAATATACTGATACATGGTCTCTCCTCTCCCCTCCCCTCCCCAAGCGCTCCTCAAATTATCTTCAAAGGAAATTAAATATAGGGCCCAAATTTTCTGCTCATTCTGGCCTTTGCAGCAATTCTCCAGAGGAACTGCAGGGGGCAGCAAAATATCATTGCTCTGCAAGGCCGTAAGGCCTACCGTGATTTAAAAAATCCAATAATACATCCATGGACATTAAAATTTCAAAATTTTAATGCGGAAAGAAACATTACAGGCCATCAGCACAATGACAGAAGATACTCAAAGTCAAGTTTAAAAATACTCATTTCAGAAAATAAGTTCTGAAAGAAAATATCAAAATTCCATGGTTTGTAGCAAAATCATTTTGATTTAAGTAGCTAGTAAAATTATTTTTTATTCAGAAATTAAAACATGAAATTAAGTGGCCGGGCGTGGTGGTGCATGCCTGTAATCCCAGCAGGGAGGCTGAGGCAGGAGGATCGCTGTGAGTTCAAGACCAGCCTGAGCTACATATTGAGTTCCAGGTCAGTCTCAACTACATAGCTAGACTCTGTCTCAAAAAACATGAAATTAATCTTGAAACTCTTGGATACATCAAGCAGATTCACCAAAATGCTTCATGATTCTGAAAGAGGTGGGCAGACTATAGCTGTGCAAAGCCAACAATGGTTACACTCTGGCCTTTTAGAGAAGAATATGGCAGTTTCTGCTGTAATAAATTCCACTTTAAGAAACACAGCTCAAACAGAAGGTAACAGAGATGGCAAACCATAAAGGTGGAAAGAAACCTCACTAGTTTCTCCCGTTACTGTGTGCCCTGAGAGCCCTGCTACTGGACTGTGAGCTCACAGGGGCGGGGCAGGGATTTCTCTGTAACTGGTGCTGTGTTTGATGGTCATTTCAGCATCACAGCTGGAGCTCTAAGAACTGCATGTCCACTTCCTGTGCTGCTAAATAGGAACTTATGTGACAACTACATGTTTATTTCTTAACAGTTATCATAAATTTTAAAAACGTTTTAGAGCAATGCTAGCATTAACATGAAGGAACCGAAAATAGAAAATTCCAGCATTGAAACTCCTGTAGCCTGTACTGTAATACGATAGAGGACAGACACACAGACACAGGCACACACCACTGTTAGAACAGACTGGACTCGGTATTTCTGGACTTATGGGGGCAAAGTGGGTATTTCTTCCTTTTTTAAAAGCAAATGTTTACTGACCTCCAACACCCACGGTGATGATTGTGTCTAAGTGTGCAGTCCTAGAGCGTTGAGTACATTTAGGGCGTTCCCAGGGAGTGGAGCTGTGGGCTGTTAATCTATGGTGTTAGAAGTCAGGATGTGGTTAGCCTCAGGAAAGGGTAGGAAGGGGCATTGTGACAATGTCCTTGTCCAGGCTGAGGGTTCCAGGTGTGTGCTGATCACCTTAGCTGCATGAACAGAACGCTGTGCTCGCGTACATTCTACAGCATTCTTAACTCTGCTGGGTGACTGGATGAAACGTCCTTTAAAGGAGTTAAAGATGAGCCGCCTGAAAATGTGCCAAAGGGGTATACAGAAGCTTTTAAACTGAAGAAGTCCCTGGAGGAACTGTAACCTCAGAATGGGTCCCCAAGCCTGTCCTCCTCCACACTCAGCAAGCCATAAAGATTCCTAGGGGAGGGAGTGTCCTTCACGTCCTAAGGCTGCAAAGGAGCTTTGATCACCAGAGGCTGGTAACCGGGGCTGCAGTGACCCTGGACAAACAACTCCTGAAGTAACCATTATCCCGTACTATCTCTGACATTCCCTTTACTGATCTCTCCTGGTAATGTGCCTAGAACTCAACTATCCTAGCACAGATATCCATTTTTCCTATCATTCTTTCACAAATTCATTATTCTTTGTCTAAAAAGTGTAAAAATTCCTTTGGACTTCTCTCTTGTGCAGACCCCAGGTACATGTAACCCCACAGAACATTTATATTTTCTCTTATTCATAAGCACGTGTACTAACCCAGTTCTCAGATCCAGCCAGAGAACCACCTAAGAACTAAGGGAGGACAGAGGAGATTTCTCTCCCACACTTAAAAAACCCAAAGGCAGGAGAAAGAAGAGAGAGGAAACAGAAAGGTAAGCAGGAAAAGCTTTTTTGACTGAGGAAAGAGCCTCTGATGTAACTACGAAGTTCTTGGGGCCAGCCAGGTTAGCTGGGTAACAGGGCCCAGAAGAAGAAAAAGCGTCCTTGCATTTGGAATCCAGCAGCCTCTCTAACGGTGTGGGCCTTGGGGACTTCTTGCCTGAGAATGTGGTGACAGGTACAGGAGGTGGACAGGCTCCCGAATCAGCACCTCCCCTCTCCCTGCTCCTGAAGTGAGACAGCCTATTGTGTACGAACTACTACCCCATTTGAACCCTTCAGTCTTCAGACCTGAAGTCACCGATCTGTATGTGAAAGCTCTGCTGGCCCCAGTGAAAAAACAGCCCGTGTGTGTACGTTTGTGTGTGTGTGCATGTCCTCAGGCAGGGCCCTCTGGCTGTCCAGGGCAGGGCATTTCCTTTCTAGAGGGGACACTGCGTATTTGCACACACACACGGCCACCTCCTGCAGGAAAGCTCTGCTCACAACTCTAGGAAAAGCTGGCGCACATCACTTCTTACTTAATAAATCCCTTCACAAGTGGATTCTAAAAGTTTATTTCTCACAGGGAGAGCTTTTTTGACCTCCTACTCTAAAATTCGAATAAAGATCAGCTCGGTACGCTTAACATTTGTCATTTCCTCAAGGACAGAATGCTCCAGGCCCTTGAAGTAGGCTACTGCTTCGTGTGAGGAGAAATAGTTTTGCTGTGGCAGCTGCAGTAACAAGATCATTCTTGTTCCTCTAAGGAAGGTAAACAGTGTCCCCACCAGCAAGACTAATTACGTGATGTGGCAGTTCTCACCCCTGGGGGTACAGGAGGTCCACCTGGGGGTTGTAACTCCAGCTGCAGGGCACCCCCCAGACATCCTCACCGGCAGGTCTGGGCCCGGGCCCACAGAAGTCTGCATTGTGAACTGGTTCCCACGATTGCATGTTTGATAACCACGGAGTGACTCTTAGCCACAGTTTAGTTTCAAAGTAACTGAACGAGGCTGCTTACGGTCCTGGATGAAGTAGGGGTCCGGTTCTGGAGAGTACTGCTCACTAAAGTCAACCAGGGCATCGCGTCCATACGGCCGCCGGCGTCCTGTCACGGGGATGTTACACAGCTGTGCGTAGTCGTCTGAGGAGGAAGGACACACAGCAGCGTGAGACCCATGGCCGCTGGCGGCACCGGCGTAACTGAACGAGGCTGCTTACGGTCCTGGATGAAGTAGGGGTCCGGTTCTGGAGAGTACTGCTCACTAAAGTCAACCAGGGCATCGCGTCCATACGGCCGCCGGCGTCCTGTCACGGGGATGTTACACAGCTGTGCGTAGTCGTCTGAGGAGGAAGGACACACAGCAGCGTGAGACCCATGGCCGCTGGCGGCACCGGCGCATCTACACCCACGCCCGAGGAGGGCTGCGGGCAAAAACAGCTTCAGAACATGTCCCAAGACAGGGAGGAAAGTAATGAAGAAAATCGGAGGGTGCGTCAGGCCTGCTGGAAGAATGGCTTTATACAAGACCATTGGACCTTATCATCGAAAAGCATTTCTAAGGCCTGAAGTAGTCACCCTTACTGACAGCTGGGCTTTCATTCACTGGAAACAGGCAAACCGTATCTCTGGTGTTCAGCAAGGATCCATCAGCAAGCCAGGAGGCTGCTGGTCCGCGACTTGGATTGCAACCCCACCCCAGTCTCCTAGACTGCTGTGTCACCCCGCGGCCCTTCGGAGGATAAGTGTGGCAGCAGGGGAGCAGTAACGACAGCTAACGGCCGCACACTGCCTGCTCCGTGGCCTGTGTCTCGCGTGGAGGCTAAGCACCCGACACACCTCTGTCGTCACCTGCATCTCACACAGAAAAGCACGGAGAGGTGAAATCCCAGCTGGCCTGCGGCAGCACCAGACCTAGAGCCCGGAATGCAGCACAGAGGTGCTAACCTGGAACATCCTCCCTCTCCTCCGACAGGTCAGGTCCTCTGGGATTCCTGTCACCGCCTGCTTTGTGCCCCAGCCAGAGTCTCCTGCAGTGACCACTTCCTCGGGCCACATTCCCACTCGAGGCTGGGCCGGCCCCCAGCTGTCTGACTGCTCAACTCGCTCTAGTTCGCCTGAGGGGACCCGCCCAGCACAGCAGTTACTCCCCGAATCTGGAGGGAGAGCTGTGGGAAGGTTGGCTCCACACGCTGAGCACACAGATGACGGCAAGTGCACTGTCCAGGCAGTGACAATCCCGGGGTTTCCTTCCTCAAGGTCCACAGATCTGCGGGACCGGCTGGCAGGGCAGCAAACCCCAGGACTGTATGGCCGATCTCGGGGCACACGGACAATGCTCACGCCTGTCTGGGGTCCTCCCCTTGTACGGAACAGAGAGAACATTAGGCAACAGTGTGGACTCTGGAGACTTCCTTTCAGCTGAGGGAGTGGGGGGAAGGTGTCCGAAGGGCTGTGCGTGTGCACTCACACACTCACACACACACACACTCTGAGGGATGTGCAGGAGGCTGGAAAAGACCTTGGGCCACTGGAATCCTGGTTGTCCCTTCCTCAAATTTTCTTTAGGGCAAAGCATACCAGCAAGAGCATCCAGACCCTTGGCATCCCTAGCACTGATGAAGCCATTTCATGAGAAATACGACTTTCACTAAAGAATAACCAGAACCTGGTAGAGAATCTTTGACAGAAAAAAGTACACCTTCAAACAGAGAAAGCACAAATCGTCATCCGTTCTGGTTAAATTCTGAAAAAAAATTGGGAATTTCCATTCTAGAGCGAAACCACTCAAATACTTACAAGTTGTTGAGAGCTGAGGTAATTTCTCATGGCCTTTTATATATATTTGTTGTACATCAGAAGAGGAGACTTATTCAATAGTTTTATATGAGTTTAAATGAGAATGGATAGAAAAAATAAATTCCTGTAGTTAATTTGTAAAACTAAACCCAGGGACGACAGGGTGTCCTCTTGGGCAGCTCAAACATGTCCAGTGACAAAAGAGGGCCCGGCCGCAATCCTGTGCCCTGCCCCTTGCCCACGCCGCCTCCTCAGAGAAGCAAGATGGCCACAGCTCTCCGCATATGGCGATGCCAAAGCGGGGACCTGGTGTGAGATGAGGAGCAAAGACGTCCATTCCTGTGCATTGTTCCAAAACCGCTTCCTGCGAGGGCTGCATGTGAAGGACAGCTACGTAGATGGAAAGGAGTTTCATTACAGGAAGACTTTTGGGGGTTAACTTTAAAGCACAAAGGCACAGAGAAGGGAAACTCAGTTGTGTCTGGGAACTGCCCACCCAGTGTTTCCAAACGAAGGCTCACAGCTTGACCCAGGCTGGTGGGGGCAGCAGGAAGAAAGGTGGGAGGTGGCACCTTTGGGATTAGGCACATCTTTGTTTCCCAGCCAGATGTTTTTACTCTTGAGATTTAGGACTTACTGTCCTCTGTAGCTGTTTTCCTTTCTCTAACGCATTGACATGCCAAGCTTCAAGACGGTTTGGGTCAGCTCTGAAAATATCATTTCTGCACGTCCTGTTTCATACAGGAACACGGGCTGCTTCCCCTCAGCGGTACGGCATGTGGTCTGAATGACTTTTCTGGGCGTATGGATGGGTCTACCTTCATCCATCCACGCCACCTCTCCTGCCGTACACATCTGCTGTGACTCTTGGCCAAGGTCAAGGGTGAAGTGAGCACATGGGTAAGGGAGAGAATGTGGGCTTTGGAGACGGAGGCAGGGCTTGTGTCCAGGTTAGCAATTGTGGGCAAACCTCAGTTTCCACATCTGTCAGACAAGGGTAGTAACTGTCTACCTCCGCGTCACTGACATATGAAAAATGAGAATGTTGTGGAATTGTTTATAAATTTCAAAGCACCAAGGAAAAAGGCACTTGCTCACACTGTTTTCCCCCAAGTGAAATCACTATGTCCCTGCTGAACATGTGGAAACAGATTTTCAGGGACAGTATTAGAACAAGCGACTCGTAGCAATGTTAATGTTCAAATGACAGGAAAGCTCCCAATGGGAAAAGAAGTATTATGGTAAATTGAGAGTAGGTTTGTGTACAGGGGACAAAAAGGAGTAGCACGGACTATTCTGACTCTTGGACAAGGTATCCTCATCAGGACTCTGGAACAGGTAGATTTCTAGCAAGTGTGGGATCTTTGAAGGTCCCGGCCACAAGCAGAACCCACTGTAGCTTGGAGGTGTTTAGCCTTGGCTACTCCTAGGGTCACTACAGGGGTCCAGCGTGGCAGGCAGCAGGAAACCGTGGCTGGCTCCAGGTCCAAAGCCCAAGGGCAGATCTTGAACTCCCAGGAGGACCCATGAGCAGCTTTTGGTTGCTGCTTTCTCCAGCTCAACGTGTGCACACAAACACACATTTTCCGTCCTTCGAATCTCTCTCCTTCCCCAGCACACCCTTTATTTACGCACATCATCAATCGCCTCACTGTCTGGGGCTCCCTGGAGAGGACTGGTTTTGCTTGTCGTAGGAGGTGTGCTTCGCAAGGCAGGACCATTTCAGAGGCCCCTTAGAATGTGCCCCTTTGGGATCTAGCCAGACACAAATGTGAAATGAACAGGAAATGAAAACACTGGCACCTCAATGTACCCCCCCAATTCCTCAGGTCCCCAAGTACAAATACTCAGCTTTCAATCATAGCTATGAAAAGGAGGCATGGATGGCATGGGACACCATCGCTAAGTGGTCTAAACAAGATCCAGGCCATGGATCGCACTAATTTCCTGACACGGCGGATTCGTACGACACATGGTGCTTTGATTTTTCACTATAAATTGAAAAATAATTTTAATTACCCCCTGGAGCCAGGAGGTCTGCCCCCCGCCCTGCTGTCAGCAGCAATGGGGGCACATTACACTGCCCTGGCAGGAACTGTCCATGCCGGATGACAGACACATGTGCGCAGCCGGTCTGGACAGTCACGTGTCCCAGCGCCACTCTGGCATGTGAGAAGCAGGCGGTGAAGTTTAGCGCTGTCTGAGGCAGATTAGATTCAGCTGCTCTTAGAAATGAAGCAGAGGCCTCGTGTCAGCCTCTATACATCAGGGGTGAAAAATTCTATTCTCTAAAGTCTGAACCGCATAGACAGGGAGACACACAAGGAGCGATTTTTATGAATTAAGAAATATGGGTCATAGTTCACCTCCCACCAGATCTCTCCCCCACAGGCTTCGACATGTATTATGGATGGCGGTGCTCAGAAAACACCAACCAGGACAGGAAGGAAGGACAGAGAGCAAGGAATGGGCACCCAGGGCTCAGTGAGGGTCGTCAGAGGCACTTTTCTTAAACTGAATTAGTAAAAGCTTTGACATAAATAAAATGTTTAGCATTTACAGAAGAGTCCATCCATCCAGTACTGGGCAAAGAGGGTGACAGAGAGCCTTGGCTGGCACTGCTGTTGACTCTGGGGAAATGGACATCTGCAGGTCGCCATGACGCTTTTTTTTTTTTTCAGAGACTAAAGTCTTAGTCCCTGTGGAGAGGCAGACACTCTGCTTCGTTGAAATGAAAATGTTTGGAGCTGTAACAGAAAGTGTGCAGTCTACAAAGAGAAAGGGATCTGGAATCAGAAAACTTGGATTCTACTCAGAGATTTTCTATAGCACTTTGGTCAGGACACATTTGTCTGAGCTTTAGATCCTCCATCTTCTGACAGGATAATGGTTCTCTTTGCCTTAGCTGTGCTGAAAGCGACCCACGCATTGTTTCATTCAATGACTGGTAAGTTGACTGATTCATTCATTGCTTCGATCAGAGGCTGAGAACAGTAGGAACAGGGCGAAGGCTGGGAGAGGCAGGGGACGATGATGCCACTGTGACCAGCTCTGAGCTCTCTCTTCTTTCGGTGGGCAATCAACTTCCAAAGAGAAGTTTCTCCAGATCATCCAGGCTGACTCCAGTCATTATGCTGTGTGCCAGACCCTATGTACTTCTCTCTACGCTTTCATTTAAATCTCAGAAAAACCCAAGAAATCTTTGTAACCAGCACCTTTTGTTTCCCATACAAACACTAAGGTTTACAGCATAACTTAACCAAGGTCTGGTGAGGGATTTGAACCCAGAGTGTTCTATGTGCCAAACCATGTTCATTCTCTCCACGGCTGCCCTTCTAACACCCCAGAGAATTATTAACTGCACTCCCTAGACCCTCAGCGTCAGGGAAGCACCTCGATCAGAAATAAAAACATTTGTGCCTACAATCCCAGAGAGAGTCAAAACCGCGAATGCTGATGAGCTCAGCTCCACAGGGGTCAGCTGAATCATTAGCAGGATTTATGTTTATTGAATTTGCTTGATATATTAGGTGAAAGAGATCAA